TTTCAACAGCAGGACAAGTCGACGGGCCAGGCCAAGTGTATCAATCGGGAACCGCATCCAAGCTTGTAAAAAGGTTAATGAAAGCTTGATTGGAAAGTCGACACATCAAGAATAAGGTGTGCACATCTTTTCTGTAATCTAAAAAGATGCCAATTTTCCACTATCACAATGTGGATGTGTCACTCAATTCTGTGCGATGCTCTACTTCAATCAAAAAACATTTCTTACCGCAAGCTTCGTGTAATAGATGCTGATTCTCTCCAACAAGATATTATGTTCCCTGCACTATATCAATCTCCTGCTACTGAACTATCTGATTTGTGTACTCAATATGACTCTGTTTTATCGTCTATCTTAAATAAACATGCCCCTTAAACAAGAGCTCGGCATGGTATACTGATGAAATTCAAATTAATAAAACAAAGCGTCGTAATCTAGAAAGACGTTGGCGACGTTGACCGTGAATTATATATTGATCAATGTAATGTTGTTAAAAAACTGATCTTCGAAGCAAAGGTGAATTATCATTCTAAATTGATTACTGTAGTCTTGACCCTCTTCCTGCAAGTCTCCTAATTAGACAGTTTAATTGGTGTATGTGAATATGTATGTATGTGGTGTATGCCTTTGTATGTGAAATTGTTAACCTGTCACTTCAAACTGGTGTTATTCCCTGTTTTAAATTTTTTACTGAAAAAATCATCTCTTGATCACAAAGTTCTTGGAAATTATCGTCCAATATCTAATTTAAAGAATGTCTACAAGATTATTGGAAAAGTTGTTTCTCTTCARCTAAATGATTATATCTGTCTCTGAAAAATCTCGATGAACCATTGCAGTCTGCATACAAAACATTTAATACTGTGAAACTGCTCTTCTTCGAGTACAAAATGATATCCTCCACTCCACTGACAATCGTTCTCGTGTTGTCATGCAGTTGATCATTAAATTCTTTTAAATCGTCTCCATACTAAATTTGGCATTTCTGGCATAGCTCTTCGATTGCTTGCGTCCTATCTCACCGATCGCTTTCAATTTGTTTCTATCAATGATTTTTCACTAAAGCTCTTCAACTTAATTGTGGTGTACCTCAGGCTCTGTACTTGGTCCTTTGTTGTATCTCCTTTATACTTCTCCGGTAACTGATATCCTTCGACTACACAGAATGTAAAAGTTTCCACCTTTATGCCGATGACACTCAATTATATATTACTTTCTCCTGCAATGACGATTTGTCCCTTAAGGATTCCATGAAACTGATTGAAAAATTGTTTTTCTGATATTGATGCTTGGATGAATACAAATTAAATTAAATAAAGACGAAACTGAATTCCTGTTATTTTCTTCAAAGCACAGTCCATAGATAACTTTTTCTTCTCTTCAATTTGTTCCGATGAGATAACGTCCTTAGCGTATGCTCGGAACATTGGTGACTTGTTATATTTGATACACATCGATATCTTCGTCATACGTTATTCCATAACGGGCTTGATGCTCGCATTAAATAACAGGACCTTATGTTTGGTAGACAAATATTTTTTTTTTGCGAGAGAAAGCAGCAACCCTTTTTAGTATTTTTTTTTCGCATGGTTTCGACATGAACAGACCAAGTGAGATTTTGGTCAATGCGAGTATGCTACACACCGGGCAGGTGTTCGGAAAGTGATTGCGATATAAAACCAAGTTACCAAGTTACCATTGAGAACCAGTGAAAGATAAGTGTCAGGGCAGCGATCTAGTTTTTGACGAGTAGTTTTTGACGAGTACCAATATTCATAGCGGAGCTCCCGCGCGGGTCCAAGGCCCGCGCGAGYGGAGCACCATAGGTATAGAATATGGTAAACTATCCAACTCAGTTTTCGTGGTCATCGCATGGGAACCCTGTGCGTAACGCTAAAAGTGTCGCCCGCCAGGTGTACATCGCGTTTCTGATTGGTCGAGCTTTCAAATCACACGTCACTTGGAAAATGACGACTTTTTTTAAGGAGCTTTTTACTATCATTTTTTTGTAAATATTGTAAATACGAAACAAAAAATTATTGAAGAAATCATGGAAAAAAAGAATTCGCCACAGTGTGAAGATAGAGGTTAGGACATTTTCTATTTTGTTTTATTTAGTGTAGATAACTGATAGCTACAACATTTACCGGAAAACGAGCAACAAACTAGCATGACGAACGAGAGAAAAAAGTACTTGTTTTATTCTTATGGTAAGAGTATTCGTAGTTCATGCATGATATAAAATAATCATTTGAAACAGCGCTTTTTGAATTCCACAATTAAACAAATCCAAGAGATTTTTGATAAAGTTTAAGCTAAATAACATTCCTAATATTAACCGGCAAACGAGCAACGAACTAGAATGACAAACGTGCGAAAAAAGTGTACCTGTTTTGTTATTATGGTAAGAGTACTTTCATTTTGAATTTCATTCAATAATTTTATATCTTTTTACAGATAATTTGTCTAAATATTGAATGAGTTTTAAAATTATACCAGATATTCAACTGTTTATTGAGCTTTTCGACCTAGTACATGATTATAAAAGTGAGCTTAAATTTGTGTTGTTGTTACCCTGCGAGCAGAGATTCCCTTTTCTATCCCGCTCGCTCTAGTACATGATTACAAAAATGAGCTTAAATTTGTGTTKTTGTTACCCTGCGAGCAGAGATTCCCTTTTCTATCCCGCTCGCCCTAGCGGGATAGAAAAGGGAATCTCTGCTCGCAGGGTATGTTGTTGTGAGATAAAGAGCGGTACCTTCACTTTCAAACTTTCACTTTCAAACTAAGAAAATATTAAAAAAACATTTCCAAATGCCAATTTACTGACAAAGAAAATTTTATTTTGTATTTGCATTGCATTTTGCGTTATTTTCTATTTTGCCTCAGTTGTTCTTGTCAAGTATAAATGAATGTAAACTTATTAGTTTTTCAAAAACTTTTGTTGTTATCAAGATGAAAACTGGTAAAATTGAATTTTCAAAATCTAGTAAGCTTGTGTTTTCAAGCTTCTCGAAAAATAGTTAAGACTATGAATGAAAATACGGTTCTTGTAAAAACATAAAACTTTTGATGTGGATAATTAACCAAACATCGTTATTAGTGTAAAAGAAGTAAAAGTAAGCTTATTTATTTTGCTCACCTTTTCTTTTACCAGTTTTCAAGTCTGTTTCATAGTCGATTTGTCCATAAAAGTTCGGAAATCTCCAAAATTTCGATTTCAATGAAAGACATCCGAGGTAAATTTCACTAAACCTGATATTGTATTGGATTATTTGTAGTTATCTTTCTATAAGTAAAATTAACCAGGAATTCAAAGCTTAAAAAATGTCGGCCTGCATGGAAAACTTTATCGAAGAATCTTCCAAGAAAAAAACTAGCCCCTTGGGGGGTTGGTGGTGAGTCTCGCGCAAAGAAAACGATGTTGTGCATTTGATTCGTTTTCAGTGCATGTTTTTTATTATGGGAGACATTATCTTAATATTGTTTTCCGATTTTAATTTTATCTTCCACTTTCAATCAAATTGGGCTCTCTGTGACTTGCGTATCATGCGGGAGCTCCGCTTTTAGGCAGTGCCTAAATATATTTAATATATTTAGTTTTGTCAGGATTAATAGCCACACAGTTTAGAGCTAAGTCATTAATGAATAACAGGAACAGAGTTGGTCCTAAAATCGAACCTTGAGGAGCCCAGATGTTATCAAGTTTGGTATAGTACGCCACAATAAGCCTTTTCATAGTTTAAGAATCGATTCCACTGCGCATGCGATTTTATCCCGAATTTCTCACCTTCTTTTGTTTAATTAAGAACAAAAGAAGGTTTAGACAAAAGAAGGTGAGAAATTCGGGATAAAATCGCATGCGCAGCGGAATCGATTCTTAAACTATGAAAAGGCTTATAGCTAGCCTGTTGCTTCCTATCATTCAGATAACTCCGTCTTGAACCACTCCAAGTTAGGATGCGAGAAACCATACAGTTGTAATTTCTTTAGAAGAATGTCATGGTGGACAACATCAAAAGCCTTGTGAAAGTCAATGCTCCAGTAAAATAGCCTTTATCCATAGCTTCCAACCAGTCGTCAGATATCTTTATTAGGGTATTTTCAGTCGGAAGCCTGACTGTGTCGATATAATAAGTTTGTGAGTTCTTAGAAATTGCATGAGATGTGAACAAACATGCTTTTTCCTAACACCTTGGAGAGTACCGGTAAAATGGATATCGGTCGGTAATTGTTAGGATCAGATATAGGACCACTTTTGTGAGTAGGTGTTACAAACTATTCTTGGTTTTCACGTACGTCATCAAAAAATTTTCCAGGATTTTTCAGTATAAAAGAAAACCTCCACAGGCCAAAAGAGTAGCCAAAACTATATACCTCAAAATTTTAGCTAAAAAAAGATTTAGATACGAAGATACAAGCGATTGATTATGCCCATAATTTAGTTGAAATGATGGGTCTGCCATCTTGGTGTCTCATTGAGGGACACTGAATATGGTGGCCAATATCACGAAGGTTAAAAATAATATTTCTATTGTAAACATTTCAAATGTTCAATAACAATAATCATAGAAATAAAGTTACCAATCATCTACTAAGTTAAAAACGTATTATTTCAATCAAATTTCCCTATTTCAAATGCTTTGAAAATGCGTGACAGAATTGGACTCGCTATAAATCTAAAACCGAACCTCGATAATACAAACTTATTTTGGCAAGACTTTTCTTATAATGCTATAGACAAAATATTTTTTGATGACGTCACGTGAAAATCAAGAATAGCCCCGTAAAATTCCGGTTCAGATAAATACATTTGCGGCCATAGTATTAATTAAGGAAAAAAGAAGTGGGATTTTACGGTATGGAATTTTAAAGCTAATCAGGTACTACCATTTATATTTTGAATATATGAAATATGATTTAGTCAATTTTATTTCATTCGAAAATAAACTCAAAAGATGTTGGATAATGATACAATATCATTTCAATTATGCCAACAGATACCCGAAGAAGCAACATTCAACCCATTGCCCACAAAAGCGGTGACTGGTCCTCTACAAATGTCGCTGTGCAATCTTTGACCACAACAAACAAGTCAAATTCGACTACAATATCATGGGGCGACTGCCGCGTATGTGGAGATCGTGCAACTGGCCGACACTATGGAGTAGTGGCATGTGAAGGATGTAAGGGGTTTTTCAAGAGGAGCATACGTAAAAAGCTTGTGTATGGTTGTAGGGCTGAGGGAGATTGTGTTGTCGATAAAATACACAGGAATCGATGCCAAAGATGTCGCTTGGAGAAGTGCTTCAAAGTAGGGATGAATCAAGATGGTAATATGACATAACTCTCCACTCAATATTTTGCTTCTTTTGCTCTGTTTTTTAGTGCTGGTTTTTCACTGGTTTATTTGACTACTCTGACAGGAACTAAGAATTAATCAATATTTCTTTCCAAGGTTTCGAACATGGACTGCAATTTTAGCTGTTAATAGAAAATATTTCGTCTTTTTCCCTTTCAGCTGTCCAATGCGAAAGGAAGCCACTGAAGATTTCATTGTCCCCAACAAATGATCTTCGCCGCCCCAGTACCGAAGAACAAGACGAGTGCGGTACTACTCTTAGTGAAACCAGACTAAACGTAGCATCGTTTGGAAGAAGTACTTGCGCTCCAATACAAATAAGCTCTGCTTCTCATTCAACCACTAATGTCCCGGGAGATATTATTGGAACACAGCATTCGGAGTTCAAACTCCACATTCCATCGCTTGCCATTCCAAAACTTTCCATGGACTATATCTATGAGTTTGCAACAAGACTTCTCTTTCAGTCAGTTGACTGGGCCAGAAGTATTAGCGCGTTTAGGAGCCTCGAAAAATCCGATCAAGTTGTACTGCTTCAGAGATCTTGGTCCGAAATATTTCTGCTCGGCGTGGCTCAGTGCATTGCTTGTTTTCCATTTTCTCCCCTGTTGGCGTTTGCTGCACAAAGTCTTAAACAGAAGGAAGAGCATCAAAAGCCACGAGTGTTCTCTTCTAACCACAGTCCGTTCTCTAACTTTGAAAAACTTATAATTGTCAAAGACTTTGTGTTCAGTTTTGACAAACTTGAGCTCAATGGGATGGAGTATGCTTACATCAAAGCCATTGTTCTTTTCAACTCAGGTGCGTACTGTAGTCTCTAGGGCCGCGTTTCTTCGCTTGGATAAGACGGGGATATTCATTTGTATTCTCTGAATAGGTTTAGATAATACTAATAAGGTATTTTGTTTTATTGTTTGAAGGTCTCATTAGTAAAGGCCTTTTTACCTTTGTCGTAATGTTGACCTATTTCAGACCACAGGTCATTTTTTAGAGTATCATTTCTTTTTGTAACAATTGCGCATGAGAAAACACGTGAATATGGATAAAATGTTAGCCTCAAGAGAATGACACAAGATCTGAAATGAGAAAATATGGTTTATTCTTTATATGGAGAACACCAATGTTTAACTTAGAAATTAATAATTAAAACCGTTAAAAAAACGTATTTTCTCTGGGGTTTAAGGCACTTGACACCTCAGATACAATTAATCTATTAGATATACAGCAAACTTGGCCCAATGATGGGGAGTCAGGATATTGTGGYGTTAAAACGCTCGCCTCTCACCTCAGTCGCCCCATGTGAGCTGACTGGGTTAGTCCTTTTTCTGACTCCGAGGGTTTTCCAGCCCTCCGGTTTTTCCTCCCTCCTCTCAAACCAACGCCTAACTAATTCCAACTGGTTAGGGCTGTGCTCCGGGGTCATACAAGAGGCGCCTTCACTTGCTTTCAGTTCGACCCCGTTGAGCTCCTCCACCGTAGTACATTGCGTTGTTGATTAGCAATGACAAGTTTTCTTTAATAATTAAAAACATCATTAAACGCGCATTCAGTGCTTTCGCATGTTTTCCGATAACAAGATATACAAGATATCATACAAGATATGACCTGCAACCAAAAGAGACATCGAAGAATAATTAACACCATTAATTCATTTTATTAAGACTTTTATAGCTTCAACAGCACAGGGTTAAGGATTCCTAAGCTTCCGTTTGTGACTTTCGCCTGGTAGACTGCGAGCAGTCCGACTTTTCCCTCCAGACTCACCAATCTCCGCGGGCGTCCACAGGAATCCCAAGATACTCGTTATTACTGAGTCTGGAGGGAAACGTGGTACTGCTCGCAGTCTAATCGGGGGGGGGGGGGGGGGGGGTCGGGTGTTTTTTGTTGGAACAACACTAATAAAGATGAACTTACTCACCCACCTTAATAAGAGGTACTACCTTTTTAATGATACCTCATAACTAGTGGTTGCTACTTTTTCATTTTTCTGTAACTTCTCCTTTCTACCTGCTAAAACATAGTAGCCTGAGTTCAGCCGGTTTAATTTCCTCGGCTGAACGCAGGCTAATGTATAGCTGCCCCCACCCCCCCTCTCACCACCCCCCAGTTGTCCCAAAAGCATGTGATCCCTGCGACCTTTCACCCGGATGAATAATGACTGGTCCCTTATGAACCATCCTTGTGTTACAGATCCACAAGCTACAGTGACCGACTTGAAACTCATCGACAGCATACAAGAAAAAACACATTGCTCATTCAAGGCTTACATAGAAAGAGAATACCCTGAACAACCAGGCAGGTTTGCCAAGGTGTTGCTAAGGTTACCAGCCATCAGATCAATTGAGCAGTCCCTCGTAGAAGAACTTTTTTTCTCTCAGCTCATTGGTAACGTTAAAATATCTGATATCATGGAATATATAGTATCACAATCTCCAACTTTCTGATCTGATAAAACACATCTGATAAAACACGACTATTTAAACCATAGTTAATGGAGCGGAATGGTTTGGAAACTGCATAGAACAAAGCTATTGCTTTGCCTTTGATGTTAAACCGTACTATCACGTGTTACCGTCCTCCACTGTGCACAGTCAACATCATATAATAATGGATAAAGACGAACAAAAACATAGAACAATAAGTTTCCTAACCATTCCGCTCCATTTACTATGTTTAAACACAAATAAAATAAAACACAACTGATAAAACACGACTATTTATAGAACATAGATATTATAAGCTGGCGACGTAACTTGTGAAATTTAGATTTTAGGGCATAGCAAGATGGAAGGGATAGCGCACCGTTCTTATAATCTTAAAGGTTATGATTGCACGTACCTTAGTGAAAGCTAATTTAGTGATCGATTTTTATCTATTATACAGTAACGGATAAACTTTGAAATAAATTCGTTTAGGGAGAATAGACCCCTTCGCAGTTCCCTGCGCCATCGTGAGGTAGCTGTGCCTTTGCATCGAAGAGAGACGAACGGTGAGCTTGCAATGATAGAGACATTTTTTAACACCTTCATCAATTATTCTCATGTCTCCGTCTTTTCAAGCTCATTGTTCTTCTCGCTTCGATGCAAAGGCACAGCTACCTTTTCCAAGATAACGCAGGAAATTGTGAAAGGAACATGAGTTGCATGAGTTTCTCAAGCTTCATTGTAATACTTATGATGCTTTAAATAGATAAGAAAGTAATTGATCAGAAGTAGCATATTATTTTTTCTTATATACGCTATACTATTACCCAAAAAGATTCCAAACACTAAATCTTCCGTGTTGAATTCTCTAGAGGCACCAACTTTCTGCATTAACCACAGGCAGGCACAAGCAATTTATTTCTGGTGTGTACGAAGGCATTTACAGTAATTTTATAGGACGAAAAAGTTTAGAAGCGTAGAAATGAGTAATGTGATGGGCCTGAATATGCTAATGTGTCACTCGCTCGCTCGCTCGCTCACYAAGATGTTAGCAAAATCACAGGTAGCCCATTCCGTATTTCTGTGAGTGTTTTACTAAGAAAATAAATGCTACGATCTTTTGAAGATATCTTGACCTGGTTTATATATATATATATATCTTGGCCTGTACTAAATTTCCGCCGATTTGGAGTTTCTTCGAATCCATAAATGTTCATATATCCATAAATAGAATTCGCTTCCAAGCAGAACAAAATTAGAACTAAAAGATCTAAACAAATTAAAGTAGGTATTTAGAAAAATAAAACTAAAAGGACAATTACTCATCTTACCAGCCAAATTGAGCATTTAGCGTCCGAAACGTCAGTAAGTTTTTTTCATCTTTTCACGGTGTATAATTTACCTTTTTATCATTACTGTTTCATTATGAACACCGACGCAGCTCACACTAGTTTTTAGCTAGCTATCTCTTCTTATTTAAAATATGAGATCGAGAGAAATACTTTGAATCCTTCAAATGTCAACAAGAATAGGAAGGGCACAGGGAGCCCAATCCCTGAAAAGTGCAACTAGTATCCACGAGTTCGCCAAATTCTCTACTTTCACATCCCCATAATACTTTGCGTCTTTGGGGGTACCCAAAGGATAAAAGCCCACTTATTTTGCTGAAGGCTGATCAGACAACAGTGTTGAAAATACCTTGTTTGGTATCCAAAAGTAAAATGAAGAAGTAAAAAACAGAAAAAGATAGAAGCTTGAAGACGTTTAAGGTAAATTTTAAACATTTTTTCGTAAGTCAATACATTTTCTAAGACCAAAACTCTTGATGATCTGTACGCGCAAAAATAACTTGGAATAAACTGATAATCAGTATTGTACAGATAACAGCAGGTATAGTATAAATTCAATTAAGAAACCTTTCAATTTGGGACAGTTTTTTGATTGGTTACCCCCCAAAAACGCAAGGCTTTATAGGGATGTGAAAGTCGAGAATGGCGAATAGTCCCTTTCACAGTTCTGCGCCATCTTGAAAGGTAGCCATGCCTTTGCATCGAAGCGAGACGAACGGTGAGCTTGCAATGATGTTTTAGAGCATTTTTTGAAATTTTATCACACCAATAAATTTGAATTTTTACTTTAAATGCCTTCGTAAACACCATGACTTTTTTAAAAAAGAGTATAGTGAACTAAAGGACCATTCGAGTGGCTATTATAAAATTTCTATGTTTCCACTGCCAACAGAATCCCATCCCGGACCGGTTCATCTTATCCAAATATTCCATTATGTCTTTCATAAGCTTTATATTTTGCTTTATATTTGCTTCGTTGTAAATTTGAAGGCTAGATTGTAGCTTAGTGTTTCGTAGGTCAGTACATTAAATACTTCATTTAAAAGGTTTGATATAATTCATTAGTTAAATCAGAGCCTGGGGCTTCAGAGCACATCTAGTAAAACCATAAGGTAAAATGAGTGAATGCATTAAATAAAGTGGTTATTCAACAACGGATAATTAACATAACAAAGAGATCCCATGATGCACCACGTTGCATATACATTAACCGTTATATTGGGCCTTTGTGATAGTTCCTCTTGACATCCCGAAGAGCAAGTTAACATCGCGACTGTCACTCCACACTCTTTTCATGCATGTTCAGCTTCCTCAAGTTCAAGAACCGAACCTATTCCAGTAAAATCTTGGGGTAGGACTTCTTATTTATCGGAGAAGTTATTCCAAATCAATGCCCTTCCTCAGTTTGAATCTAGTTCTTCACTGACCCAAAAGAAAACTATATTACATGTTGTATGCAATAGTGCAAGGCTGTTTTTCCCCTTTAAAATTTTACTTTGCACGCTGTGTGTTTGTGCTAATTAAACTGATCCCCTCCCAAAACTGACTAGTTTCCAGAAACTGAATGCGCACGCTGTGTATCCGTGCCGGGCCGTTTCCCTCCTTAAACATACGGTTTCAAAGACATGCTGTGTATTAGTGTGTGTGTGGCCGTGTGTGTGCTATAATTTTAGTTCGCGACCTTAACACTTGGTTTTTTGTTTTGTTTTTGTTGTTGTTGTGGTTTTTCATGATCATTTATTTTTGTTCTTTTCAGTCCCCCATTCTTCGCGAGCCCGATAAAGTTGATCCCTACCTTAAATTGTACAAACTTAGCCATACTAATCGTAGTCTCGTCGGCCTCCATTGATAGCAGTTGAATTTCAACTGAAGGAACTACCGACGTTAAATATAGGTACTTTACCTTTACCTTTTTAGCCAATGGCTAGACATTGGGCGGCATTCCCCCCAGGAGAACACGCAAGGGACCCTAGCGCTAGCTTTCCCTTTATTTTTCCTCTCATTTTTTTTTTGGAGAATGGGAGGAATGCACCCAGCCAGCCTTTTTGCAAATATGACTATTGCGTTAATTTATATATGATAACACGTGTTCCCTGGCATCTCAACCCTGAGCACTATCGGAATAGCGCGTCGGATTTCGCACCTTTTTTGCCTTTTGTGACACCTTTTAGTTGATCCCCATATGGTACTCAGTTAAACAAATTCAATACATAAGAACTTAACTAACAAAAATAACCAAGACTGGCTAAACTGGCCAGTTAGCTAAATATAGTAGTTTGCAAATTTTGGTCATTTGAGGTATATAAAGAAGAATTATACGGACGGACGGAGAGGAAATGACCATAGTGCCGGAAGTAAGTGGAACCGTTTAATTTGCATTTTACTTGTTATACACTGGTTCGATTTTTAGTCGAAACTCAAAACTATCGTACCTTTTATCGCGTATCTTTTAACTTCTGTTTATCTTGATACAAAAAATTGTCGTTATCAAGCTTTTTCAGAACTGAAGAAACCTTAATCCAGCAAAGATACACAGAAGTCACTGACATTTAACTGGGACCGCTGCGTTCGTTGCGCTTATATGCATTAACTATTATTTATTATGAAGAAGTGAAGAATAATAATAAGCGTATTTTATTTACTTTGAGCATACGGTACTTCCTAAAGAGCCGTTTAAATTTAAGTGTCATTTGTTTCCAAATTAATATTTTACTATGAAATAATGACATTTGATATATAAATCTTCAATTCTACATTTTTTYCACCACTGAGGCGTCAGTATACAATAATTTCATTGTAATATATTATTATACTCAATAATGATAATATTCGTCTTAATAATATTCTAAAGTAATATTCTTAAATCTTGTATTATTATTATCATTATTATTATTATTATTATCATTATAGAACTGACTTCTATTATTGTGAAGAAGTATTATAATAATATTAGGAAAAATTATGCATTAGAAATCAAATTATCATTTTTAAAAACTCAGTACATCAAACTGTAACTGATCAATCTGCTCAGGTAACAGAAAATAGATTTTGACATAAATATTAGCTCGTTTTTCGTTAGCATTATTATACAGTTCGGATTTCGCCTTGCATTTGACCTTCGCCTCTCAAATCTTTCCACTCTGTAACACCCTCCCGTTAGTCTAGATGATCAACACGCTGTGCTGGAGTCCTAACGTATCAAAGAACTGAGCTCGCCTCACACTAACTCAAATAACAGTTGCTAATTGCATTGCAAATTTAATCAAAATTGTATTCGCTTCTACTCCATCATACTAGTATTTGCAAATCCATACCATTCACAGAACAACTGGAGATGTCAGGTACACAACAAGGGGCCGGATACGTCGACTTCACAAGCCCCTTAAGGCCCGAAACTGTTCTCACGATATACGCTTTTAAGTGATACGAGGAATACTACGGCCAGAAACTTATCCAGAATATAATATTTATTCATAACAACGCTGTACCTCATGTTTACAACACTTTTAAGAATAACCATATACGATCAGCTGATCCTCAATGAATCAATTGGGTCTTCGTAAACATCTGAACTTTCATCTGCTATTTTTGCTTTAAAATGGTTGGACAGCTAAAGCCCTGCTTCCACTGTCTTTTTACTAAATATATTTTAAGATTTCAAAACCTACTACATTCTATATATTGGTGGAAAATCGAGTGAAGTATAAAAGTTGATAAATACAATGTGAGTTAATAGAAAATCTTTCATGCGGATCAGTACTCTATCGATAAGCCGGGCTGTTGTTGCCCCATTTCGTAATATTAAATTCATAAACAAACTTTCTTAGTTATGAGTCATAAATACTAAAATCCACTACAAAATAGTTAAAAGATCATTTACAAAGTCACAGTACTAAAAATCATTCTTTATAAATCGAGACACACATGTTCGAGAGAAATGTACTCCTTGATGTAGGTAAATTTCATTGGTTCGCCTTGAACCTACTATAACACATCAGCTGTGTTTTCGTTCTCTCAAACCATTATCATACAATCAAACGCCGTGAGGTGAACTCCGAATTGTTACCTAGCACATCGGATTTGAATTTTATGGGTGTTTCATCGCATTCTAACCCATCTCCTTCGAGATGTTTGATTGCTTGGACTATTGTATCTAAGTTCTGTCGTGTTGCGGCAAGTGCCTTGTTTGAGTTGTGGTGCGATTTGGATTTAAGCTCGTTCAAATCGGCCTCAAATTTCTGTTTCTGTTCCTCTAATGAAATACGTAATCGGCGTTCCTTCTCCAGCTGGCATCTCAAATCAATGAGCTCTTTTTGTAAATCTTCTAACAAACTGTCTTCCGTAATGTTGTTATCATTTTCGTCCTTAGTGCTGGATTTAATAGTGTTATTAGGAATAGCACGTGCTTGGTCTGTGTTTTCAGTGTCTGATGCCCTCCTCAATCGCTTACACGGAAGACGACTATCTTCGCTTTTGGTCTGCCCTTTTCGCTCACAGTGGCTAAGAATTCGCTTTAGGGTTGTATTTTGCTGCAAAAGGCGTGTTTTGTCTTGCTCAAGAGAGAATATATATTCTGAGGTTTGCTGCAGAATTGCTGCCTGTGAAATAACCAAGCAATAACAAGTGAAACTCACACTCTGAATGACATATTCCACGAGTCCTACTGGATAATACATTTACATGAAACACGATTAAACTGTTTGAAATTACCTTGCTAAGTTTTTCTCCCTCTGCATTGGGAATTAACATTCTGAGGGCCTGAAAGCCTGAATTTATGCTCTGCATCCTTCGCCTCTCGTTCGAGTTAGCTATTTCCCGCCTAAGTCGTCTTTCGCGATCTCGATCCGATTCAGGACTTGTGCTACGAAGAAAAGAACATTAGCTTGAGAAAGGGTCAGATTATTTTATCTATAAGCGATAAATCTGCAGAAAAATCAGCTCACTACTAACCTACAGTCAATATTATTTGCAGGGTCCTCAAATGTATCGTCCTGCGATGCCGTTCCACCGGCAAGTTGGTACGATGTCATGTCTTCTCTCAATAAGAAAGTGATCGCTTGATCCAGTCCTTCAAGTCTTTCTCCCGACGATTATTTGTGTATTCTATGGGTATTTTTCGTATGATTTCTTAGTTTTCTCTGCAAAAAAACGAAACTAAGATTTGCACAGCTCACATCTAGGTCTAAATCGGCGGGAACCAGCTGKCTTTCATGATCAGGTGACCGAATAAGCGAGGGAAGAAATTTGAATGCATTTCAGCGGAGGAATGTGAAGCATTCAGTTGGGAGAATTTAAAAACAACACGCGAATATCTCACCTTTTTTACTACCTAAACAGAAGTTTTCCGCRAAATGACGTAAATTTACTTTATCATGATCTTTTTTTAAATGTTCTTGATTGCTTCTAGCTTTTTTTAAATCTTTCATTTCTTAAAGGCGATCATAAATAGCAACCCTATTTTCTAAACTCTTTAAACTTGAATCGTTTTTTTGTTACCGAATACGAACCAATCAAAATCGCGAAGCGGATTGTTTACCACTGTCTCTGTCTCATAGAGCGTATTATATAGCCCATCGATTCTGTGATCAGCTGGATGGAATGACAGTCAGCTGTTTACAATTTCGCTTCTCGTCTTATGTTAAAATTTTCGTTTCTTCTTGCTCTGCAGTTAACYAAAAATCTCCAAAAATGCCTCATCTTGAGAATTTGGTATATAAACACGATCGAAACTGGATGTGGTCACGAAGTACAACGTTAGAAATATAACATAATAGTACAAAAAGTTTATTTGGTGTATCTATGCAACGCTACTTATAAATGTATTCAACATAGAATTCCCTCGTCAGCCAAATAATTTTACTATATATTACATTAACTATTTAGTAACAGCATACTGTATAAACCAGGTTGTAAGTTTTCTTTTCAAGTTTAATTTTATAACACACGTTGTCTTATGTCTTGATATAATCTTGATATAAGTGAGGTTATAAGCCCATCATTTAAGATTTCGATTCGTGTCAGGATTGATAGATTGAACCGTGAATGAAGGAAATTGGAAAAGGGCTTCACGGTGAAAATCTTCGATCGCGAATATTCTAGTTGYTCGAAGCTACAGCACTCCTAAGTCACAAACTCACATCAACTTTAACTCAATTATTCATTTTAGAAATCACTCGTATGAGCTGCATTACATGAAATACTTTAGTTCACCTCCGGAATATTCATCCTTGAAATATTACTTATAATTCCGAACGAGGAGGGAATTTTACCTAGCTAGGTAGGCATAGGCATCATAAAGCGATCTTTTACATCATCCTTTACTGTTATTTTTCAACTCCATAGGAGTGTGACTAGTCATCTAATTCACTCCCTCCCCCCTAGGTCCGCCCTTGTGTCGTGACATGACTTCAAATTTATCTGCTTTCGCTTTTAATGAATCAGAATTCGGCATAAATCGTGGTAGACCGCAAGCAGTCCATGTATTTCCCTTGGTCACTGTCGCTTATGTTTCTTTAGTTCATCTTTCAAATTCCGAGGATTAATTTGTAGTTAGCTAGTCTAATATTCCCAGGACGAGGGCGCCTGGGACCTAATCCTCGCTCGGACGTCTATAACTATGGAATGACAAAGAAAAATAACGAATTGAGAGTATTTTCATCCCCTCCCCCCCCCCCTCCCGCGTCATCCCCCGATAACCTGTGTACAGCCGCTTCCCACCCCTCCCTGTACACAGGGTATCCTTCGATTGACCTATGAAACAATAGACAACAACAGACATTGTGCTATTTTGTACAGTTATTTAATGGAACATAAATTTAAACTTAATAGCGGGATTATAGCGGACTGTTTGGCTAATGAATTGTGAGAACTCTACGTTCTTAGTGATAATATAGAACTTTACAGAACAATCACAAAAGGCCGAAATCAGTCCTGCTTCAGGTTTAACTCGTGGATACGCGAAGCGTAGAAACGATTTATCGTGAGAGGTATGAATATGCAAATATGTCACTMACTCACTCCACACACACCCACACATTTTTTTAAAGAACTGATTCATCGGGTAAAACCCGACGACACTATGTTTGACACAGGTATTCGGACCCAAAGGGGGAGGGGGAGAGGGGAAACTTATGAGAAAAATGAATTAAGAAAAATGATTAAAAAGAAGAAAATAATAAATAAAATATAATAAATAAATATTAAGGAAGTGGGTGATTGACGAGGAGAAGGGGTAGTTGAGCGTACTAGACTTATATGAAAATATTATGGATGTGTATCGTAGATAGGTGGCAATGGTACAGTAAATGATAAAGTACATCTTACAATCATCGTGCAATGTACATTGAATTGAAAATAAAAGCGTTTTGGGTGAAGGCAACGTTACGAGCGCAACATGCATGAGCTCATGCGTGGCGGCGGTGTGGTGGTGATTACTATATCAAAATAAGAAAGCTTAGGGATAGTCGTTCGATCTTCCAAGTGTTTATGAAGGTCAAAATTCGACCTGCATGTTTCAAAACTTCTAGCGCCAGAAGCTTAAAAACCCTCACACACTCGCTCTTTCACTAAGATGCTAGCAGATCGATAATTAAACGCTTACGTCATCTGCTTACGAACATTACGCGAAATTTACTTCCGGACCTCGTACAAACCATAGTTAATAACCAGAGGTTAATAACTATGTACAAACACGAAGTCTGTCAGTTTTATTATACAGACTCGAATGAAAAKAAGTTGAATAACATTTCTAAACGATTTTATATAGAATATCCGTTTATTTCCGTTTATACGGTGTGCAGCAAGCTATACTGACCCAAAACCGCGTCCTCAAAACCAGGGCTGCATAACCAATTTCACTGGAAACATTGGCCGATCACTATGCATAGTATGTCTCAGATAGTATCTCTTAGATGGTTGATCAACCAATCAGAGGATTAAGGTGGCTGCCTACTCCAGAAGAAAGGAAAAAAAGACAATATGTTTTCTCATAGTCTAATCACGATCTCATAAACCCAAATTTCAATACCGATTTCAAATATTCAAAGAAAAATTGGGGTGTCCGAAGTCGTTTTTGAGATATTCACGACTAACTCAAGCGTATCAACAAGTATTTAATGAAAAAGCCGAAAGGATAAAAAACTTTTCGCTAAAAAAATTTAAAACGTCGTCACGTGTTACCATTCATCATAAGTTATCCTGCAAGGGTGACATCAGTAATATTGTGACTAAGAAAGTCTAATAGTTAAGTAGTATACTCTGAGCACATTGATTTACTTTTGTTTTCTTTGTCAACTGTTACTAACTAAATAGTCATTTTTTTCTTTCACGGGTTAAATAAAATCACTTTAATCCGTGAAAGAAAAATTATTAGTCAACGTGTAATAGTCAGATAGGCACAAAAGAAAACAATTGAATTAGGGTCTACTAATGTGTATTAGTCTAATATCTATTTCACGGGTTTAATGACTTCACTCTAGTCTATTAAACTAATTAAATGTCGCAACTTTTTTTTTAATCAAACGTAGCAATAATGAAAAAGAGTGAAGTCATTAAACCCGTGCAATAGATGTTAGACTAATACACATTAGTAGACCCTAATTCCATTGTCTTCTTTTGTGTCTATTTGACTATTATACGTTAACTAGTATTTTTTATTTCACTCTAAGTGATGTCGTGGTAAGGTGAAATTAGTCCGGTAGTCGGCATAGTAATTACAAGGACTCCTTATTTTTATATCTCTTTTTACTATATTACTATATGATTTATGTATAAATATATTACTTTTATTTTTTTACTTTTACATCAAATTCTCGATCCAAGATTTTAAAATGTTTACACTGTTTAAAATACACGGTTATTCCGCAAAAAAGGGTTTTGATTATTATAATTATTGGTAACAATTTCATGTTAAAACCTGCAAATTCATTTCTGACAGAACGCGAATATGTAGCGACTAAACTCAATCTGACAGATTTCGTAATGAATTTGAAAGAAATGTACGTTTTGGATCCCGTGTCCTGTTCAAGTTGGTTTGACCGATTTTCAGTAATCCGTACCGTGACGGTATCGTCTGCATCATCATGATCTTTCTAACACTGAGTAACTAAGAATTTTAGAATATTCGACAAATGGCTTTGTGAAATACTCAATTGTTTTAAAGTTCTTTTTTGGAGTTCGGTAGTGTTTCTTTTTCTTCGTGTCGTGACTTCTGTAGTATACTCGCTTCAGTTTGGTTAGCGTCTTGGTTAGTATCACTGTTTTGCGACTGAACACTGCCGTCACTACCTGAAGCTGCACTGTCTTCTTGAGACGAACTGATATGACTGTTGGCTTCTGTTTCTTGAGGTACGGAACCATCCTGTATTTCCACGTCTTCATCCTCCTCGGGATACTCCAAACCGAATGCTAAATGGCCAATAGCGTAGTAAGAATTCCAGAAAGTAACCGAGAACACCATGTACTTTTCATAGGCAAATTCACGACATTTTTCGATCATCGATTTCCTTTGCCACTCTTCTTTTCTTCTTGCGGAGGGTCGTGTTCCTGTGGAAAATGTTAATCAGAAAATAAGACAAAAAGGGTTTAGATGAAACATGTTCTGGACAATATTACGAAAACCATCGAAGAGAAACGAAACCAAAACAAACAACCAAAAAAGTACAGCTGTCCTGACAGCAAGAAGAGAGTTGAAACTACAAAAACGTGATAACTGCGATTATCCGAAATCATGATAAGAACGACAACCATGCAGGGAGATATTCAATTGTTCACTGGCGTCTTGACCCAACTTAATTAACAAAGGAATGTCCAGGTTTATACTAGTTATCAACCCCGTTTTAAGAAACTACCCCAATGATGATATTAGAAGTTATATACCTTATACCTCGGTGGATCATGAGATATATAAATCCGAGGCGATCTCACATCCACCGCGGTAACGGTATACACCCATTATAAACGTTGTCATCACCAAAGGAGATAGGCAATAGGGGATAGGCGCAAAGCGATAGTTGATAGGTCATTCCAAGATCCAAGAATAGCTGGAATGACTTGTGTTTCTGCTTCTTATTTTCGTCAGTCACATGGACCTTAATGTTAAGACTGATTCGATGCCCTTTGTATTCAACGAAACCATTTCCATATCGGAATGGCCTATCGCCTATCGCCTTTGACGATGACAAAGTTTTTCAAAATAGGTGTATATAACCTTTACATTACCCTAACAGCGGCGGTGACAGTGTATAAAAACCTACCTGGATCTGTAATCCACTGTTTTAAAGTTTCATTCTTCATTAGAGTTGTATTAAGATATACATACATCCAACAGGCTGGAGTCTCAGACACTGTGTATACCACGTGAGTATCGTTAGCAGGGAGTTTCATCTCTTCATTTTTACCCAAAGTAAAATTTTCATTGTTTGTTTCGATCTTAACCGTTCCGTGAAGGACCGTTATYGAAGTGTTCAGTTCTTCGCTGACGAAGTTTTCCAGCTTTAATCCCGGGAAATCTGGAGAGTAAAATACCTTGTTCAGTCATTATTCTGAAAATTAAGAAAGTAAATAAAGGAAGGGAAAGGAAGGGAAAAAAAGAAAAGAAACTAAGAAAGGCCGGGAAGCAAGCAAGAAAGGGAGGAAGCCAGAGAAAAAAAAGATATAGCTATCTGATGTAATCTGATGGACAAAAAGTTGTAATAGTTCTATTTACTGTTAATGAAGCTCATTGAAACCTGAACAGCCTCATAATGCATGCACTGTAGTGCTTACTCGACCCGGTTTTTCCTCTGTCAACGTCGAAACAGCTAATAGGGGTTAGCAATATATAGGACTTCCCAAAAGTAGATAACTATAGACTTCTGGAGTGCTTACTATTTACCCGGAAAAAAAAGGAAATTTCGGTTGGAAAACAAGTGGTATTATGTATCAGTACCTTCCGATGGAAAGTTCCGGAAACCTCGGTCTTCCGATTGAGGTAATCCACTTTTCTCGCTCTTTTTTATTCCTTTCGGTAGACGCGTGTACCATTTTCCGAAGTCAAGGTTTCTGGCTCTTTTTGGCTTACCATTAACGAATAAGTTTGCAACCGGATGGATTGGTTTAGAAGGTAAGCACATTTTTCATTTTTATTCATATCAATTGCAACGAGTTATTTAATTCCCATTGGGTATTTTAATGTGTTAATTTCATGTGACAACGTTCTAGCGATTAGGTGTTTATCCAATGAAACATATGCCAGCGTGGTGATGCACGACCAAAATGCGCTATAACCTTGCTATTTCCAAAAAAACTATCTTATACGGCTATTATTTGGCTATTTTATGGTTCAGACTCAGACTATAGCGAGGCAATCACCGTTAGAGACGTTTTTCTAGTGGTATTAAAATCTTTTCCCAACTACACAGTACTGATCTGTTTTAAAGAGTACTACAAGGATATGTTGTCATTGAATTCTCACCTGCAACAAACACGATATCAGTAAAGTTTCCTACAGACGTGTTTAGCTGTTCTCTTTGTATCGCTTCCAGTTTCTCTCTCCAAGGTGAGAGCTCGGACAACAGAGGCAGAACCCAAGTAGTTTGCGCAAAGGGTGACCAGGGAGCAGTGACGACGTCAATATTTGGATCCAAAAACCGTTGCTGGAATCTTCGGTTGAGAGAACGCCACACATCAAGGTATATAGCTGGTTTAGTTATGTTGAGTTCCTCACGCTCTTTGATCTTTTCGGCCAAGCACGTCATGTACTGCTTGATCATGTCGGGGTGAGAGTTCCACCTGGAATGACGCCTTCTGCCGCCTCCGATATAAGCCTGYGTGTTGAGAATAAAAAGAGTAAACCAAAAATCTCAGTGACCCGGTACAGATGCATGGGGAATGTGAACGTCGTCTAGATTAGCAACACAAGCTGAATTGCACTAGATATGTTTTCGGTATTATACATTTTGTAAACTAAAATGAAATACAATGAAATATCCATTTATTCTCACGTACCCCAGGTCTGATGAACACGTCGTTTCCAGTAACTCCATCGACAACCTTGATTCGTACGTGCTGGGTGCTCCAAGAATGGACCATCATGTCCCAGGAGTATCCATAAAGACCCTCGGTCCATCCGTTGTACCCCTTCAATCAATAAGATGAGATGAATGATTCCATTTAAGCTTTTATCTTTTTGTACGTAGTTTTAGCTATTTTAACTTAATAACTTGTATAATACATTCTATTTAAAGTGCTACTATGACGAAAATCGCTCAAACTTGGATTCAGCTGAAACTTCCTAAGAATACTCTTTAAAGGTCCAATAATCACTGTATGTAGTGTTTTCTCGATATTCAGGACGAAAGTATGACATTTTTACGATTATTTTTTGGAGTCTGTGACATCATACGCTCAACATCAAACATTGCTACATATATTTCTTTGTAGTTTTAGCACTTTAAGCTTACCCTAACATTAATTCAATCAAGATCTTTTCAGGCTATATAAAAGTGGTTATAATATATGTTTATGAACAGGACGTTAGGTCGTGCAATTTTTCAGGTAATCACCGGTTTGATCAGTAAAGAGCAAATTGCATTTCACTTAATTCCATTACCATCATTAATAGTTTTCGAAGCTGTTTTTAAAGCTGTTGCGCGATATCGGTTTGCTCGTGCAATTCAAAGTGGAATTCTCTCGTCAGCTAATGAATTTTTCTATAAAGTCTGTTCAAGAATGCAAAAGCAAATCTTCTTATCATTCATAATTACTGACCTTGGTAATGAAATGCGAGTAAGGTAGAAAACACTGGATTCCAACATAACATCCAAACAAAGCTAACAGTATCTTATGAGATACCGTAACTTGGTCAGTTTTGTTGGGTTTTCTTCCTGTGTTTTTCTTTTCTTTTTTCTCTACCGTCTGGTTGTCAAGCTTTTCTTCGTTTGCTTCGGGTGAATATAAACAGCTATCACTTGGCGCAGCCTCGTCAAGCAAAGGTGTAGCAAAGCCCATCCAGTGTGGCAGGCGTGACAGGATTTTCTTTGGCCAGTTGTAGGAACAGAACAGAGTGAGGGATGCCATCATGGTGTAAGAGAACATGCCGATGCTAAACATTTGTGAATTCATGCCATGAAAAGCCAAAGAAAAAAGAATTCCCATGACTCGAGTACGCTCGAATATCAGAAAGAAACCGACGAAAAGATCGTAGAAAAGACCAGAGATGTGCACAAGAAAAAGGTCAATGGCGTCATCTGACAAGAATGAACGGAATGGATCGAAGACCCACTTGCTGGACAATCCTGTCATGGAATAGCCAGTCATCCAATCCCGATCTAGCTTCTTTATACCAGCAAAGAAATAAACCAGGAATATCTAGGAGAACAAATCAGTTTATCTCTTCAGAAATTTTGGTAATGGTCCAAGTTCACTGCATATATATTCATATAATTTTTCTTTTTTCAATAATTGTTATTATTTAGTAACGCTGGAGAGAAGGGTAACTACTTTAGATTTCCAAGAACTGAGAGTATGCAGGGGATTTTACTATAATCCACGACCTAYTGTGGCCTATTAAAGTGATGCAAAATCACATCTGAAACCACCCTAAAAAGTGTGATAAGCATCTCTGCTCCATTCCAATTGGATCCACCTCCACAAGTTACCAAACACACACACAAACACACATACCCACCCATATGATTTGTAGTAATACATTACCTGAAATCTAAAGATGGCATAATTCCATTTAGGTACATGGGCATTGCGAATCTTTGGATTTCTTAATCCATCCAGTGACCTAAATGTTAAAAAATATGAAAATTAGAATAGGAAATTAAGAAAAGGAGATTGAAAATTAATTAAAGGCAGAAAGAATTGATAATAAGAACAAAAAATTAGAATGAGGATAGGCGTAAAAATTGAACAAGAATGAAATTGGGGATGTGACTGTTCCAGGGGTTTAGTAACCTTCATAAAATTTCACAAATTTCCGATGGTTTAGCGTGACTAGCATGGAATGTCCTCTTATTTACAACAATCATATGATGTCAACAGCTGGTCAAAATGTTATGTACTCACAAGGAAAGGCCTCATTGTTTTGTACTACAAAAAAAAAACACGCAAAAACTTTGAAAGAAAAAGGTTTCTAGTGTGTGTTGGCTCAGTGTGCGAGTGATTCATAATTTGTTGACGTGATTTGTTGGTATGTCTTATTATTTCTCAATTGACACAGTTTTCTTTGTTATTCACAAGGCTTTATTTTTGTTATAGCCCTCATTATAAATGCAAGGTCAATATATATTAGTTATTAACCCTGTTAATAACTATATATAGACCTCACATTTATAATGAGCAACATTTGATAGAAAACCTTCTCAATTGATAAATAAATTAACATTTGTGGTTAAAAAAGTGTTATCTATTTTTCTGTCTGTCTGCCTACCTGCCTATCTATCAAATGAGAATGAGAAAAAGAATACTCATTAGATTTATTATGATAATTTAATGCTGCAGAAGGTTTCTTACAAACTAAACAATGTCACAATGTACTGTACTCACCAATAGTGATGACAGTCTGTCAATAGAAGCATTATAGAGACTAATCCATACAGATAGGAATGGTTGTTCCAAATTGCTTTATCCAGTAGGAATATGTACCAATATGGTATCATAAACATGATGCAACTGAGCCTGTAGAATAACCCCAGCAATATTCCAATAGCACCAAGAAACATGATCACGTAAATGACATGCATCCATTCTACAGAAGCTGGCTGAAGGAAGTTAAACATGGGAAAATGACACTTATCTGGTTGCCAGTTGTTAAAAATGCTGGACATGCCACGCTCTTGTGGAATGTCAATCATCATGAGGATTCCTAGAGAAATGTGAGAAGAAAAATCGGTAAGAAATGAATGGAAGGAAGGAAGGAAGGAATGAAGTTGTGTAGAATCAGAGTTTTTTATTCCAGTAACAAAAATGTTTATTTATAGCAATTTAGCAGGGTTTTAATACAGCCCAGCTATTATCTCCAGTTGAATTTCTGTAGAGATATTATCATAGAAAAATTGATAAGGCTAATAATAATGATATTTTATTTCTTAAAAATGTATTATAGATGTGTTGATCATCACAGTGAATGAGCGATCTAAGTGAACGCTGTAAAGAAAGACTTGAAAAAATTATTTCAAGCTTCAACGGGAATAGAACCCATGACCTCCGTGATGCCAGTGCGATGCTCTACCAACTGAGCTATGAAGCCAATCCTGTTGGCGAGCGGTCATCTTTGTTGGGTTCATCAAGTCACTATATGTAATAAGTGTGAATATTGAATGGGTAGAACTGTTCATTCAATATTCATACTAAAATAATTCTTAATACTCTTTCCAACAAATGATAAACTACATAAAAAACAACCAATATATAAACTTATAAATTAGTATATATTTGTTGGATGAGATTTCACAATAAAAATGAGCAAAACAAGTACTCCAGTATGTTAAAGCATGGTTTTAGGCCAATAACTAAAAGAATGTTTTTATTTCTTGTTGCAACAAAACGCATTCCATTTTGATCAAAATTGCAAGTCTTTGATAGATCTCAGGCTGATGACAAGATATGTTTCCTAGACCAAGGGCAGAGTTTTCTCTATCTGAACCAAATTTAGCCTTCTTCTGATTCAAGTTTTTTTAGGCAATCAGATTGCTTTAAAATGAACTTAAACTTACCAAACACTATCCTGAAAACACCAAGGTTGGAAGGATCTGCAGGAGCTAGCAGGTATGCAACGCATTTTCTGAGGCAGTTACAAAAAAATATGCCAGAAGGTTCTTTCTTCTCATCTGTAGCGGTAGTCTTTGTTCTCATCGTCATTTTTAATTAGTTCTCGTGTCCTGTGCAATTATATACCTATAAAAAATTTAGAGAAGCATTTTATTGCATATACTTCAAGTTTATATTAATATCAATGTAGTAACTGTAAACAATTCAATGAGTATACACAACAACACAAAAAAAGATAACTTAGGTAAACGTTAAATTACTGTACAAATGGTTACCCAATGCTCCTGAAAGGTCAATATCCTCAAAGGTGCACCCTTTACCTCCCCCTCTCCCCCAGGCTAGAAGTGCTCCTTATTATTACCTAAAGCCAAAGCTACACCAAACAGAGAGAAGTTGAATTACACAGACATCCTAAGGATCTTTGTCATGGACATTTATGTTTGAAGGTCTCACGCTAACCAACTGTCAGCTGCAAATAAAGTATAAACTCTAACTTAAGTTTTTCAGTACTGATTTTACATGAAGTGAATAGTTTGAATGGTAAAATATTTTTATATGGTAAGTAACACATCTTCGGGATATTAAGATTTTCTTCCAATATATTAACAAGTCTGATTCATGCAACTATTTACTCCATGTAGAATCAATACTGAAATTATTGGGTTAGGGTTTATAGACACTTTCATAAAACAGTTTTAAATCTTAATAGTGATAAAGCCATTATTTCTATCACATAAGCCAGCTTGTGCAAATGCAACTTCATGTTTTCAATGTGAAAAATGCAAGCTCAAGAGAACTTAAGATTTTGGTTTTCTTGCACTCATTACTGGTTTTGCACTTGTATTCATACTTGCATCAGCTTGCATCAGCTAGCATTAGCTTGCATCAGCTAGCATTAGCTTGCATCAGCTTGCATCAGCTTGCATCAGCTTGCTTAAGCTTCAGCATCTCTTAGAAGCTGGTTTTAGCATATTTTTATGAGAGTAATCAATAAAATAATTTTTTTCAAAGAGATTTAATACACATGAAAAAAATGTATCAATGCTGATTGGCTAAGAGCAGTGCTGTCTCAAGGAAACACTCTGCAGAAAAAAGGAAATTCAGTGCAAATCTCAGTTTTCAAAACTGGTTTCAAAATCAAACTTTTCTCAATTCTGCTGTTGTTAAAGTGCCTATACCACTCAATATTTTCACAGGAAATCAGTACTGATTGTACTGTACATAAAGTGAATATTTGAATGATAAAAAAATTTCATATGATTCAAATGATGCATCTTGAAGATATCAAGGTTTATATATCCAATATGCTAATGAGTGTAATATGTCATTACAGGCATGATTAAATATAAGAAACTTTCCTAGGGCAGCAAAATATCCTATATATAACATCATTGCCTTTCGTACTCAGGGTTTATAGAAAACTAATAGCAAATTTGTTTTCTCATAGTAATCAGTGTTGCAATTCGATAAGGAATATTTTGTTTTATTCTAACGATAATTAATTATTATATATCATTGGCTGTCCATGTTAGTCCATGTTAACTCATTATTAACTGGTTAACCGGCATGTGCTTGGTCAGGGAGGCAAGATTTGCTTGTTCAATGCTGCTATCATTGTGTTATGGAGATCTTGACTATAATACATGTTATCGAAACATATATCATTCTGTAAAGGTATTGTAACATGTTATCATTGAACCAGCTGCCAGAGGCACTGTGCTAAGGAGCATTACAATCAACAGAGCAATATTTTAATCAATTTCAGTGGTGAGTTCTTTGATTTATTCAATTGCGAATATCACTTAAAATAATTCCATCATTATATACTTGATATTCCTAGATAAATCTGTTAYTATAATGCGTGAAATGTGTTTCCATGAACTTAGGATGTAAAAAAAGATTTTGGTGTATTTTCCGTGATTCGAAAAATTAATTTTATGTGAAACATGATCACTTCAATTTTTGCGTGAATGGGAATGCGATTTCAGAATTTTATGTGAAGCGGGAATTGGCCAAATAATTTTACATGAATGCATTTTGCGAGGGGGTTAAGGGGACCCTGTGCAATTCACCAACCTATTTATGTTGGAACATAGTAGCTAGGCAACAAGCCTTGACATGAGGTATGATCATCTATAGCCTTGCATAAATTTTGAGTAGACAAAGCATCTTTGTTTAATTTACTTTAATGCTTTCATTTAATATTTAACCAATTCTTTTGGTCTCTATTTTATTGCTTATTAGACAAACAACTCACACATGATTAGGTAGCTTTTTTCATAAGTTACATTTTTTTGGTTTTTGTCTAGTTTTTGACGAATACAACTCAGCTATTTTCAACACTTCTTTCATGTTTTTAAAGATTTTCCTTTTACAATAATATTAGCCATTCCCTACTTCTCTTGATATTGATTTATATGTATTTTTAAATTGGCTAGTAAGATATAAGTACACAAAAAGGTTACGCTTAATTCTTTAAAAAATATATAGAATTTTTAAAACGACTATAATCGTATCCAATTTGCGTTTTTTAGTGATCATGATCTTGTCAGGCCCTTTAGTTAATTAAACGCCAGCTTAACATAATCATAAGCTTTTCATGTTACGCTTTAATCAAATTTTCATTTTTTAGAGGGGAAATCCTATTTTCCATGAAGAGAAATCAGCTTTTCCATGTTTTTATAAAGCATCTTTAGAAAAATTACATTACTTACCTTCTTTTTTAGGTCAAATCCGACAAATCTCTTCACCACATCTTCCCTGGCAATCGAAAGAAAGAGCTTCTTTTGTTCCCGTTGAAAGGGTTTTTATAAAAACTGCTCACATTCACTAGGAACCGACTTCGATTGGTTGAACAAAAGCTATGTCAACTGTTCAATTATCAACTTCCTATGCTCATGAGGTGTCTACCTTCTATTGGTTTAATGTGACAATGCTTTGGCTAATTTATGGAAAACAGCATTGATGTTTTTTTTTTATATTTACGAGTTAGTTTTCAGTGATTCTCTGAATAAGAATTTGATCAAAGAAAGAGTCAAACTCCTTACACTCAGAGGTCACTCAGAGCACACTCAGTATGTCGAGACGACATCCATGTTGGACGGGAATATTCTGGGGACTGGGCTATGAAAACACAGGAAACCCGCTCGTTCTTTTATCAGCTTTTATTTCGGTTTCTCTGGTTGCCAGCCTGTTAAATCCAAATCAGAGAACATTAGGTATTACGTTATAATTTTGCAAAGTTAGAAAAGATTAAAATAACCGTATAAATTCTAAAAAAAGCCTCCATGTTGTCGCCACGAAGGGGAAGTGGGCCCCCATGGTAGACTTTAAACTTGCATCGAATACTCATGAATTTGCTCATCAATTGTTCGGATTTTACCTAATTTGAAATTTTCAGCATTGATTCTTAATGAAGTGAAAAATTGAATAGTAAATTATTTTTATATGGTTTGAGTGATGCATCTTGGAGATATCAAGGTTTATACTCCCAATATGTTTATTTTACTTCATCTAGAATCAATGATGAAAATTTTGAGTTAGGTGTCATAGGCACTTTAATAGTTTGCGCCAAAAGCAGAAGTTCATCGAGAAGGCTCACGATGGCTCACTAAATACTGAATATTTGGTTGACATTGGTCCAAAGAGGTCATGTGGTAGGTTTTACGCTATTCTCGACTTTCACATCCCCATAATGCCTTGCGTTTTTGGGGGGTACCAATCAAATTACTGTCCAAATTGAAAGGTTTCTTAATTGAATTTATACTATACCTGCTTTTATCTGTGCAATACTGATTATCAGTTTATTCCAAGTTATCATTTTGCGTGTACAGATCATGAAGAGTTTTGGTCTTACAGAAAATGTATTGACTTACGAAAAAAWTTTTAAAATTGATAATAATCTTTAATAATAATCTTTAATGAGGATACCAACTTCACCTTACGGTGATTTACAGAAGGGTCCTTAAATAAACTAAAATAAAATGTACTAGTTATGTAGTGTTTAAAAAACGAGTAGGAGTGTTTTATCAGGTATAAAAGCACGAGGCGTAGCCGAGTGCTTTTATACCTGATAAAACACGATCTACGAGTTTTTTGAACTGCTTAAAACGCTCATGAACAATTTATAAAATTTTGGTTCAACTGGAGCCACCATACACGTCACGAACATGGATTTTTATACTTCGATAGAGATTTGACGTCATGGGCATGCGCAACHAGATTCAATAGAAGCTCCCACACTTTGGATATTGCGTGCCAAGGGAAAGACAGGCACGTTAGTCAAAGATCTTTAGGGTTGACTATGRCCTTGATGRAGCTCTATGTCTTCATCTAAACTTGGATGTATACTTCATCCCTGATGAAGTCATCCTCATAGTATTCGAGTGGTCTTTATATAAAGATCACATGTGTCTTTATATAAAGAAAAAGAAAAGCAAACAAAAGAAATTCGCACTGCAAACAAAAGAAATTCGCACTACAAACAAAAGAAATTCGCACTGCAAACAAAAGAAATTCGCACTGCAAACAAAAGAAATTCGCACTGCAAACAAAAGACGAAAACCCTGCGCGCGCAGGTCAGCGGTAGGGGATAGTGGGCTCGCCAAAGTTCTACGAAACAAAATGGCGGCTCACAAACACGAAGAATTGCCTCGTGGTTCAGAAAGGGAGTTAATTGAGCACTATTTTCATAAAGGATTKTGGTACAAGGATATCGTTCTCTTTCTGGAGAAGCATCACGACATAAACATCAGCATAAGAACCCTTAAACGACGATTGAGTGATTATGGTCTGAAACGTAGGGAAGAGTTCGACGTGCAGTGTGTCAAGGAAATTATAGCTCGTGAAATAGCAAATGGACCAGATAGCCTCAATGGTTATCGTACCATGTGGCATATATATTTGCAATAGCAACTTTCACCTCTACATCTTTTGGGGTTGTTTCCTTTGGTTTCTTTTCTATCCTAAGTTTCTTCTTTGGCTTAGGATTAATATCCCCCCAGTGTCTCGCTTGTTCACGTTTGGTGTAAAATTCCTCAAAGGTCAACGTGTTCGAAGACTTAGAATCAGAAGGTCCAGGAGGTCTAGGTATATTTAGACCTGAAGGTCCAGGTTCGTTCAATCCGCTTGCAAAAGCACGAGAAATCTCTTGCTGTAGAGTTCTTCGTAGCTCGTCTTTAGAGAACTTCCAGTCACTTTGGGACGCCATTTTGGACTACGAAATTGACGGGAATTCTTTGGCGAGCCCACTATCCCCTACCGCTGACATGCGCGCGCAGGGTTTTCGTCTTTTGTTTGCAGTGCGAATTTCTTTTGTTTGCAGTGCGAATTTCTTTTGTTTGCAGTGCGAATTTCTTTTGTTTGCAGTGCGAATTTCTTTTGTTTGCAGCGAGAATTTCCTTTGTTTGGATTGAGGTTTTTAATTGAAGTGAGATTTTTCTTGTTTGCAGTGTGATGATCTTAATTGTGTGTTGTCCCCTCTGGGCCACCGTAATTTCGGGACCAAAGACACCCAAACAATCCAGGACGTCGAGTGGATATTCATCACGGCCAAAACCTGAACGACTAGCATTGCTATGAAACACTGAAGCCATGCTAAAAATTTCAAAGGAAAAAACTGGGTATTGTTTATAATTCAGAATTTGGTATAATGTCAGAACAATCACTGGAATTTGACCAAAGAAAAAATGGAAACGGTGGTGGCATATCTTTGATAAATAAATAACAATGGTGACTGTGGTCACTCAAACTTTCCAGTACAAGAAGGACACCAAAAAGTCGAAGATTGATAGCGTCCTGGACATGCTTCCAGGCATGATGGACAGCGTCAAATCAGCCGCGACACCCATAAGAAAGCTGTCGGCAGGTGGCAAAATCTTTCAGATTCTGATTAAGGTATCAGTAGACCTTACTAGTTTCTATTTCCTCTCGGTAAAATTTTGGAATATTATCCCATTT